TCTGAGCATGGGAGTTAATTAATAGGCCTGCAATCTTCTTTTTTTTTATAACATTATTCTTTTTTTTTAATTTTTTTTTTTTTCAGGTAGGCAATGGGGTTAAGTGACTTGCCCAGGGTCACACAGCTAGTAAGTATCAAGTGTCTAAGGTCAGATTTGAACTCAGGTCCTCCTGACTCCAAGGCCAGAACTCTATCCACTGGGCCACCTAGCTGCCTCTTTTTAAAAAAAAAAAATTTTTTTTTTTGGCTTTTTTCTTTTTGGTGAGGCAATTGGGGTTAAGTGATTTGCCCAGGGTCACACAGCTAGTAAGTGTCAAGTGTCTGAGGCCAAATTTAAACTCAGGTCCTCCTGACTCCAAGATTAGGAGGCCTGCAATCTTAAACCTTTCATATGAAGGACAAGCTGGGTAACTCAGCACAGGGGTAGGGATGGGCAGGGATGAACTTAGGCTTGTCCTGTCCCTTCAGAAGGGCCTGGGCAGTCAGTTACCCTACCTTCTCTGCCCCCAGCTGGCCTGAGTTAGTAACCTGGGTTGGCCAAGGGGCCAACCTAACTTTGGCCATAGAAGTGGTATGACTGCCCTGCTTAGTGGCAAGAAGGAGGGGGCATCCTTTGGGGACAAGTGCTTTAAGCTCCTGCTCTCTTGCCTAAAGAGTTCTGTGCCCATTCCTGCTCTGGATATCCCTGAAGATTGGGTGAATGAAATAGGTTCTCAGTCTTTTGCCACCACTTCATTTCCCTGATCCTTCCCCTCCCTCCCTCCATCCCTACTCCCAACCATTAGGGCATTTATCTACTTGGCCTAAATCAGGTCTACAAGTAGGCTCCTGTTCCCATTGCCTTTGAATCTCCTGGGAGGTTCCAGTCCTTTGCCATCTCTTGCCCGGGGCCAGGCTCACCCATCAACATCATCATCATCAACTGTCCAGGCTTAAGCCTGCCTGTGGACAGGAATGGTGATGATGGAGGGGAGAGGACTGACTTTCTTCCCCCTCCCCCTCAGATATCTCAGTTTTTGCTTGGCCTTGTATAGCCTACGTAGCACCTCAACTCAACATGTCTTAACCGGAATTCCTAATCTTCCTCCTAAACATACTACCCTACAAACTTTCCTATCTCTATCGAGGAAACTGCCACCCTTCCAGTCATCTAGGTTCACCACCTCAGTCATCCTTGACTTTTCACTTTCACTCAACCCCTACATCCAATCAGTTGCCAAGTCTCATGAATTTTCTTCCTCAACATCTCCTGAATCGATTCTCTTATTTCCACTAATAGCCACCACTCTACTTCAAGTCCTTATCGCTTCATTCTTGAACTATTTTAATAGCTTTATTGGTCTTCTTGCATCCAGTCTTTCCTTTCTCTAATCCATTTTTCTCACAGCTGCCCAAATAATTTTCCTAAGGTACAGTTCTGGCTATCACCTCTCTTGTTCAAAACCCAGGAATACATTTCCCAACTATTCCCCTCTGAAACTTTATCTTCTTTCAAAGTTCAGCTCAGATACCTCCTTCCTGAAACCTTCCCTAACTCCTTTCTCAAATCACCTTGAATTTAATATTTACATGTATGCTTTAGTTGAATGTAAGTTCTCTGAAGGCAGGGACTATTTTCTTCATCACTGTCAAATCTCAGCTAAAATACCACCGAAACCATCCCCACCCCTCCACATGCCCCCCCTCCCCCGCCCCCGGCCTAAAGCCTACTGGTATGGGACTCTCTTTATTGGTAGAGATGAATGCCCTTCTCTACCTTGCATGAGGTGCAGGGTAGATCTGTCAGGAGGTGAGGGAGCTCCAGGCTTTGTCAGTGCCCCTTTGGGAACTCATCATGCTGGTTCACCCAGCTTCCAACTTTGAGAGAGAAGATGGAAGAGGCCAACTCTACTTCAGGTTGCTGAAGGAAAAGACTCTGGGAAGACATGAAAGGAGCAAGTAGTTTCCATCATGTCCCTATTCCCAACTTGCTACTCTAGAGACTTTGGAGAGTTTCCCCTTGGGTGAGATCCAAGACCCTCTCTCAACTGAGCTGGTTTACCTCATTCCCAATGGGACAGCTCCTTCAATCTGTATTGTCTGGTATATGTTCTCCTATGTGTACATTCTCTGATTTCTGTCTTGTTATGATTTGTATAAATGGGTTTCTTTGTTATTTTCTATGTGTGTTCATTGTGGAAATAGTATTAGGTGGGAAAAGGTTCAAGCCTTGGTTATAGAGCTTGGGGTCCCCATTCCCACCAAAATGACAAAGTGATCAAAAGTTAAATGGAACTCAGTCATACCCCCTAAATGAACAATATTTAAAGAAACAAAAAATATATTTCTAGCCTGGTACTCCCTCTTTCTGAGGACAGGAGATTGGCTTCCAGCCTCAATCTCCTGCTTCCCCTCCTAGAAGGAATGAAAGTCTCCCTTGAAGAAGGGATGGGGGGACAAGAGGCTGGAGATGTCTCTTCTGCCCCCCTTTGAGCCACACAAGGACAAGTCCTTGCCACTGGTGGGTCTCTCTCTATATCTGGGGGTGTTCCATACACTATCTTCTGCAAGAAGCCTTTCTTCCTTAACCTTAGCGTATCCCCTCTGAGGTTATCTCCAATTTGTCCTGGATATGTTTTGTTTGTACATACTTGTCTGCATGCACGTTAGACTGAGCTCCTTTAGGGCAGGGACATCTTTAGTCTTTCTCTGTATCACCACTGCGCTCAGCATAGTGCCTGGTACATAGTAGGCACTAAATACATGCTATTAATATATAATGGGTAATACAGTGCCTAGCATAATATTGCACATAGTAAGAATACTTTCTGAATTGAATGTTCACAGTGAGAGTTGTATGTATGGGCACGACGACAAATTCATATATACCTGCCACTAACTTTATTTGTGGCATTGGGTAAGTTATGTTTACACATCTGAGGGCACTTCTGGCCATACGTGCACAGGAGAGGTTTTAGGCTCTCTACCTTCATCCAAGTCCCTTGAATTTGACCCCAGCAACACTGGGAGAGGCAATAAAGACTAGCAGAAAAATGCTGGATTTGGAGTCAGCTGACCTAGTTCTTAGTTCTGCCATTTACCCCTTTTGTGACTTTGGGGCAGACACTTAACTTCTTTGGGACTCAGTTTCCTCATCTGTAAAATGACTAGATGAACTTCTAAGGCCCCTTTCAGCCTCTAAATCTGTGATGAAGAATGAATATAAGAGAGGCCTCAGCTTTCTGCCCTATCCCCACCTGTACTAACGCCTCCTAAATGGTCTCTTTCATCCCGTTCCTTCCCTCTCCAATACATCTTCCACACAGTTGCCAAAATAATCTTCCTAAAGTATGATCTTACTGTTCTTTCCCTTGCTCAAGAATATTCAGTGGTTTCCTTCTGCTCCTAGAATAAAACAAAACTCCCTGTTTTACTTTTGATTTATTTATTTTTTGCTAGGCAATAGGATTAAATGACTTGCCCAGGATCACACTGCTAGTAAATGTCAAGTGTCTGAGGCTGAATTTGAACTCAGGTCCTCTGACTCCAAGGCCAGAGCTCTATCCACTTTGTCACCTAGCTGCTCCTCCCCCCATTTTACTTTTAAAAAAAAATAGTATTTTATTTTTTCCAATTACTGTAAAGACAATTTTAAGGGCCAATTAAAAAAATTTGAGTTCCAATTTTTTCTCCCTCCCTCCCCTTTCCTCTTCCTAAAACTAAGCAATTTGATATGGGTTGTATATGTACAATCATGTAAAACATTTCCATACTAGTCATGCTGTGAAAGAAGAAATAGAGCAAAAGGAAACACACACACACACACACACACCTCTGGAAACAGTATGCTTCAATATGCATTCAGACTCCATCAGTTCTTTTCCATCAGAGGTCCTTTGGAATTGTCTTGGATCATGTATTACTGAAAAGAGCTAAGTCATTCACCGAACAATGCTGCTGTTACTGCATACGATGTTCTCCTGGTTCTGCTCATTTCACCCTGTTTTACTTTATAAGCTCTTCACAATCTGTCCACCTTTCCAGGCTCATTTCACATTATTCCCCTTCTTGCACTCTACAGTTTAACCTAACTGGTTTATTTGCTGTTCCCCCAACTTGGTATCCCATCTCCCACCTCCATGTCTTTGCACAGGATTACACTTCTTACCATCCTCTGACTTCCTTCAAGCCTTCCTCTAACTGTCACCTTTCCTGACCCCTCCCTCCCCTTTTACCTGTTGTATCCTCCTTAACAACTGGGAATGTTTTTCACTGTCCTTTCCAAACCCAGCACAGAGGACATGGCTTTTCACCAAGCAGGTTCTTGATAAATGCTTGGAAGCGACCTCATGATCCGTTCTATGATTTATCCCTCTTCTTTCCCCCTTCTTTTCTAGATGCAAAACCTCCCAGTTACGGCTCTGGGGTAGGGATGGGGGCGTAGAATGGCAGGGGGCAGAACTCAGGGAGTGTTTGTAGTCTGCAGAACGGGAAACCTCTCCCAACATGGGCACAGCTTTGGGCAATTGCGCTTTTGGCGCAGCAAGTCCCTTCTCGCGGCCCTTAGCCCCGGTCCTGTCTCCTTGGAAACGCCAGCTAACGTAGGCAACGCTTAGAGAGAAGAGCCTGCGCCATGCAGCCACAAGAAAAGTGAGCAAACTGGCGTTCTGGTCTCCTCCACTAGCTTAGGCCTCCCGAGCTGCCGCCGCCGAATCTGCCGCGGGCTACAACGCGCCGCCTCAACCCACACGGCCCCGCGGACACGAGGCCACCTCTGCCTCCCCCGCTCCCTCCCGTACCCCTCTTCATTCTAACCTGCGGAGAGGGAGGGGCGCTTATGGGCGAGTGCGCTTGCGCAGAACTCCCGCCATTCTTTCCTACCTCTGCTTCCAAAGCGCTGAGCATCCCTAGGTGCACTTCGGCAACCAGGGCTCCACCCAGGGGTAGAGCGCATGCTCCCGGCTGAGCCCCCGCCCCCTAGTTCACAAGCACTTTGCAGAAGGGCTGGGGAGAGGAAAAAGGCGCGTTCGCACGGCCTCGCCCATTCTCTCCCAGCCCCCTCTCCCCTCTCAGCCACACGGTGGCACTCAGTCTCTTCAGTCTCCGTTTGCCAAGGGTTCGGATCCTGGGTCCGCCCCATGAGCCTGAAACGCCAGTCTTTGCCTGGGAAGGAGCAGTTATTTTTGGACACTTGTCTGCTGCCTATGGTAGCTGATTGTCTCATATGGGTTTCTTTGCTCTTTTCAGAAAGGAAGCTCACTTCATCACTAGAATCCCCAAATACTATCCCGTGGTGAGTTCGGGGTCTGACTGCTGTGGAGTGGTCAGTGGGAACGACCAGGGAGGTTGTAATGCCCCAAATTCTGACCCAAAAAGTCATACCTGGCCCCATTCACCATCCCAACCTAAAATGCTTTCCTCCCTTACTCACTTAAAGTCTACACCCACCTTGTCCTCATTGCAGGTTCCACTAGATCCAGCTCCTATCTTACCTCTTCCCAGAAGCCTTCCCTGAACTTCCTCTGAGCCCTGACATAGAGTCCAGACCAGGCTTCAACCTTTGATGACTCTGTTTCATGAGTGGGATTGGGTGGAATGGGAAGAGCACTGGGTCTGGAGCCAGAGGGCTGGAGTTCAAATCTTGGCTCTGCCTTCCTAGCTGTAGACCTTGAACAAGTCTCAGCTTCAACCAAAGGGGTATCTTTGTAAAAATAGGGGGATTGGCTAGATGAGTTCTAGTTCAGACTGTATGCAACTCCCTATGGCGTTCTTTTCTCACTGGCTAGGCTGGATTTGAAGAGCGAATGGATTCTTCTGGTTCTTTGTGTTCACCTATTCACCCTAGCTGGGCATGGGCATAATTCTGGATGGAATGCTTGACACCTTTTTTGAGATCCTTTTTTTTAATAGTATTTTATTTTTTCCAATTACATGTAAAGATAATTTTCAACACTCATTTTTTGAAAGATTTTGAGTTTCAAATTCTCCTCCCTCTGTCCTCTCCCCTCTCTCCAATATGATATAGGTTATGTGTGTGCAATCATATAAAGCGTATTTCCACATTAGCTTGACACGTTTGTTTATTGCCTTCTTTCCCACCTGGAAATTAGGATTATAACCAGTGGCAGCAGTCAAAGAAGAAGCCCAGGTTGAACCTTCCTCAGATTAAAGTTGCCTCAGGAAATTGGATGTCAAGGAGGAAGGCCAGTCCTAGACCAGGTGGGCAGAGGTACTTGAACTTGTTAGGATGGAGCAACGTCAAAAAATTTAATAAGCAAAACATTTTCCTCACTCACAGGTGCCTGTGTGCCACCCTAAAAGCCTTTTTCCTTTCCTACAATGAACGAAGCTGGGTTGGGAATGGGGAGAGGACTCTTTTTCATGTCCTTTGAAGAGGTAGGGTAACCAGAGCCTCATCCTTTGAGTGGCTTCAGAATGCTACAGAGACTAGACTACTGGATATACATCATGACATGGTGAAATTGGTGGGGAGGGGGATGAGCAGGGTGAGCTAATATAGAAGGGATGCATAAACTCCTTCACCAGGGCAACTTGAGCCCTGGGGAGCATGTGTTAGGTGTTATCTATACTCACTTTCACATATGCTAAAACTCATGTTCTGCTGTAGCATGCTACCTACAATGGTGCATACAGTTTATTAAACTTGTACTTTAGGACTTGTCCATGTTCTGTGAGGTGGCCTGGAGGTACAGTGGATGGAAACAAGAATACTTAACTTTAAATCCTACCTCAGACATTGGTACCCTGGGGAAGGTACTTAGTTTCCTCATCTGCAAAATGAGGATAATAATAGCACCCACCTTATAATATTGTTGGGGCAGCTAGGTGGCAGTGGATAGAGAGCTGGGCCTGGAGTCAGGAAAACTCACTTTTATGAGTTCAAATCTAGCCTTAGACGCTTACCATGTTTGCCTCAGTTTCTTCAATCTGTACAATGAGCTGGAGAAGGAAATGGTAAACTACTCTAGTATCTTCGACAAGAAAACCTTAAATGGGGTCACAAAGAGTTGGACATGACTAAAAAATGATTGAATGAAAACATAGTGTTGTTGTGAGGATCAAATGAGTTAACACCCAAAAGGCACTTTGCAGACCTTAAAATCCTATCTAAATGTTAGCTATGATGTTGAATTTTCTGCTCTTATCCTATAGAATACTCTACAGGTAATTTAGGAACGGATATATCTCCTGTCTACCTAAACACAAAAGGAAGGATGTGAGTGGCCAGCCAGGAGCCAACTAGTGATTTATCTTTTGACTTAAATTACCAAAGCATGAAGATTTTTTTTTTTAGGCAACTGGGGTTAAGTGACTTACCCAGGGTTACACAGCTAGTAAGTGTCAAGTGTTTGGTCCGAGGTTGGATTTGAACTCAGGTCCTATCCACTGCACCACCTAGCTGCCCCAAGATTTTTTTTTTTTTTTGCTAATTTTTTTCTTTCAGAGTTTACCAGGACAAAATTCACAACAAAGGAGGCAGCTGTCTCTAATGCAGTGAAGAACCAGCAGCAAAAGATAATTGGGAATGAGATGGATCTGGAGAAAATCCAAGCTGATATCCGAATACTAAGAGTGAGTGGGTTTGTGGACAGGAGAGGGCAGGGGAAACTGTTTTAGCACAGTGAGATGTATAGCTGGTTACTGGACAAGAGGGAATATTGCTGCAGATCTGTTGAGGGGAGTGGGGCCATAGAAGGCTTTGGGGAGGGATTCTGTACCATGAGATCTTCTTCAGGATGGAGGAGACTTGGAAGAGTAGCAGAGGCCTGAGTTTCTACATTCAGTCTGGGAAACACATTAGGGAAAATAGATTGGGCATAATTACAGGCAAAGGACATTGGAGATAAGGAAGGGATAACTATGAGTTGTTTGTCCTTCATTCTTGAAGAGGACCATGACATCAAGGAGGTGATACTGTGAAATGCAAGTGAATTGGATTTAAGTGAGGAAGGGCTATGCAAAGTCATCAGCCTCACTTTCTCCTCTGGAGCCATCTGGGTACAGTGGCAAGATATAAATCAGGATGGCTGATGGCTCTAAGTGCAGTGGGAGACCTTGGCCTTTTTAAGCTAAGATCTTTAACAGGTCTCACTATGACTGAGGCAAAGCTCATTCAGTGATTAAGAGTAGGTAAGAAATGAGGCAAAGAATGGCCTCTTCACCTAGTCAAAAAAAAAATTCATTCTGGAAAGGAAAGACTCTCAGGGTTTTTGGTCAAAACAGAAATAATTGCTATTTACACTCACTCTGAGCCAATCACGGTCCAAACTATGACCAAGTGGGGCTTGGCCTGGGACCTACTGTTGGCCAGTCAGTGAGAGCTGATGGTTTGGCTTTAAGGCTCAGTCCTTAAGAAAAAAAAGTTCCAGGGATCAAAATTTACATTCCTTCATCCAAGAGCAAAGCAGGGCTGAGGAGTCAAGAAACAAACCTGTCATAGAAAAGAAGGAGGTGAGAAGCAGATGGGAAATTTAAGGCCAACTCAGTGGCCCGCTGTCCAATGGGACTTTGCTGACCAGTGGATGGAGGTATGTTCTTGGCTGTTCTCTTGCATGGCTAGGAGAGATCTTTCTCTATCACAATACAATTTCCAGCCAAGACCACAAGGGTGCAGGATAACCACTAGGTAACAATCACTCCCTGTTACCCTCTGGACAAAAATCCAGCCCCAAAGGGTGGATTTTTATAGAGGTTTTTAACCTTTTTGGTATCACAGACTTCTGACCCCTTATCAGAATATTTTTAAATGCATAAAATAAAATACATAGGATGAAAAAGGAAACCAGTTTTACCAAAATATAGTTATCAAAATATTAAAAAAAAAACAAAAATACTTCATGGATTCCAGCTCAAGAACCACTTGTCTAGGAGACAATTAGCCCTAGGAACTCCACTGAGACTGTCTAGGTATCAAATCTCTTTGTTTCCTCTCCTTTCTGACTCCCACAGGCAATGCTTAAGTTCAGGAGGGCCTCACTAGACGAACTTAAAAAGCATGTTACGTCCCTCACTATCAGCAACCAGCAGCTGGCAAAAAAGATCCAGGACATAGAAGCCGTCACTGCAGAGAAAGTGCGGAAGCTTCTACAGCAGCAGGACATGTTTGGGGTGAGAATGAGTGACACTGAGAAACTTCTAATCCTTTGGAACTACTTTCCGAGGTGCCTACCCTTCTCTCCCATCTACACTTTGCAGTGTCACCTGCCATATTTCTGTACCTTTTCCCATCTGCAAAACAGGGACTCTTCTTTCTACTTTAGGGTTATTCTGAGGGTAAAATAATATAATCACCATGATCTCATGTTGAAGATTTTTGCTCTAATATTGTTTCTCTTACAGGTGAAGCAATGGGTGGTAGACTGGGGTCAGGAGAAATCTGGGTTTGAATCCTGTCTCTGACCCTCACTATCTCTGTGAAAATAGGCAAGTCGCAACCTTTATGAGCCTCAGTTTCTTCATGGGTAAAATGGGGATAAAACCTGTGTCTTGGTTTACCTCAAGTCACTGGGCAAGTTTGTTAAGTGATTACTGTGTAATCACTTAATTCTTACTCTCAGGAATTTACATTCCAATGGAGACAACATGTATACGACTATATTGATACAAGATATATACAGAGTAGATGGGAGGTAACTTGAGAGGGAAAGCCAGTAGGAACTAGAAGGACTGGGAATGGTCTTTCTGGAATGGGAGGAATTTGAACTGAGTCTTAAAGAAGTCCCAACACTAGTGATTGTGGTGAAGGGGGCAGAACATTCTAGGCAGAGGGGCACAGCCAGTGAATGTGTGGGTACAGGGATAGGGGATGAAGTGTCAAGGAACTGCAAGTAGACCAGGGTTGCTGAATCATAGAGGAATTTAAGGTGTTATAAGAAGGCTGGAAAGATAGGAAGGGGACAAGTTAGGAAGAGCTTGAAATGCCGGTCAAAGGAGGTGATGTTTGATTTTGATAATAGGGAGCCACTGGAACTCATGAACAAGGGGGAAGGAGAGGGTGACAGGTCTATGCTTTAGAAAAACCCCTTTGGCAGCCGAATGGAGGATGGATTAGAGTAGGCAGAGATTTGAGGCTGGGAGTTCAGTTAGAAGGGTAGCGCAGTAGTTCAGGTGAGAAGCGATAAGGGCCTGAACCAGGGTTGTGGTTGTGAGTAGAGACAAGGGAATATACATGAGAGACACTGTGAAGATGGAAACTATAACATTTGGCAATGGGTTGGACGTTGAGGTGAATGTGAGTGAGGAACTGAGGAGGACACTGAGGTTGTGAGACTGGGTGACTGGGAAAATAGTGGTACCATCAATAGTCATAGAGAGGAGGGAAGGGTTTGGAGGAAAAAATGAGTTTTGTTCTGGACCTGTTGAGTTTAAAATGCCTATGAGACGTCCAATTCAAGATATCCAGAAGGGGGAAGGAAAAAGGAATAAGCATTTATATAGCACCTACTATACGAAGCATTTGTTATAAATATTATCTCATTTGATCCTCACAACAACCCTGCAAGGTCACTGCTATTATTATCCCCATTTTACAGTTGAAGGAACTGAGGCACATGGAGGTTAAATGTCTGAGGCTGGTTGTGAACTTAAGTCTATTCTAACTCCAGGCCCAGTGTTCTATCCACTATGCCACCAGTTGCCTCCCAAAAGGCAGTTGGTGATGTGGCACTGGAGCTCAGGTGAGAGGCCAGGGCTGGACGTATAGATCTGGGAATCATCTGCATAGAGATGATAATTTATCATAGGACCTGATGAGATCACCAAGACAGATATTCTATCACCAAGACAGATATGGAATATCACCAAGATATTCTATAGACAAGAAGAAGGCCCAGGTCACAGCCTTGAGAGATAACCATGGTTAGTAGGTATGAGTGCAGAACCTACAGAGGACACAGAGAAGTGGGGCAGGTGGGAGGAAAGCCGGGAGAGAGCAGTGAGGAGAGTCAGGAAAAAATCAAGAAGGGAAAGTGATCACTAGTGCTACGTGCTTCAGAGAGGCTAAGAAAAATGAGGACTGATAAATGGCCATTATGTTTGGCCATTGAGAGATCACTGGTAACTTTGGAAAAGGCATTTTCAGTTTAATGATGGGTTTAAAAGCTGAATGTAGAAGGTATCTGAGGAGGAGGGGAAAAGCTCTTGACAAAGGTTCTCCATTTTTTTTCGGTGCAGTATGAGGCAAGGTTCTCAGCTGAAAAGCTCAGGGAAGGGGGTCCTCTGGGAGGAAGGTTAAGAAGGCTTGGAATAGCCACTGTGGGGAGCAGGATGGCAAACTGATTAGAGAGGAGGAGAATGTTTGCCTTGTTGCAGTGAGGGCCTAGTTGCGGTCAGATGACATAGCCTGGTTGTGGGACTCTAGTCAGTGCAAGCTCTTGGTTTTCTCCAGCTCATATTCAGCAACACCTGAATAAGAGTAAAGGAGGTGAATGTTAAGAGCAATCTAGGGTTGAGCTTGGCGAGGCGTGATCAGTGATAAGTCAAGGGGGCAAGGGATTTAAGAGTAGAGGCTAGTGTAGAGTTAAGTGGGTTCACCAAGGGAGTCAAGATAGGAGAGAGGGGAGAGTATAGCCGGTGTGAGGGTGGTGGCATAGGAAAGGACTGGAGGGACAGAGAGAATGGACATCAAGTTGAAGTCAAAGAACAGAATTAAGGGTTGTAAGAGAGTGAAAGATGAAATGAGAAGAGATTACGATCAGGTGGAAGAATGCAGGAGCTTGTGGACCAGGAAGCGAAATCCTGCAAGGTGATGATAGCAAGATCAAGAATATGACCATCTTCATATAGAACTGTGGTGGGGTGGAGGAGTAGGTTATGGAAATGGAGGAGGCTGAGAAACTTGGAAGTTAGGGCATTTAAGATGGCATCAATATGTAAAAACCTTATTATGAGAACTGAGAGAGACTAGGTACTGAAGCCATTGAGGAAGGGAGGAGAATATCTTGGGGGCTAGTAGGTAGCAGCCACCAGGATCTGTATTGGGTGATAAATTTGTATAGCACAACCTCAGAGGAGGAGAGGGTGTTGAGTGAAGGTGGTAAAGGAAGAGTCTGGGGTGGCAATAGGGGATAACAGCATATTTTAGCCCTCCGACTACAACCTGTGAGTCTGAGAGAGAAAAAGTAATCAGTACTGGAAAGGATGGCAGGGGAAGCAGTGTCATCATGAAGTAGTCAGGTCTCAGTGAGGGCCACAAGATGGAAGGGTGAGAAAGGAGGAGGTTTAAGATGAAAGAAAGTTTGATTAATGTGGATCAGAAATTCCAAATGGCACTGTGGAAGAGGGGGGCAGATCTAGAAAGCAGGACCTTGGTGGGGAGGGAGTCAAGGTGGCCAGGTGTGAGGGATCACCACTGAGTTGAGAATGTGGGATGGGGCTTCAGAATCCCTGGAATGAGGCGAGTACAAGGGCATGGGTGTGTGCTAGCAATTGAGGAGTGAGTGCAGGTAGAGTAACAATGATTGGAGAGAAGTTCTGTGAAGGAAGCATGGAATTAGATTCTATGGGTCCTCCCTCGAGTTTCAGCTTAGCCCAGATGGTGATCTTTTGTCCTGTGAAGCCCCAGCCCTTCCCCAGAGTAGACAAGAGCAGGTGGAGCTAATGGAAGCTTGGTTAGGAGGCTGTGGTGCTTTACTTGCCTTGGAAGAGGCACTGGGGACAGGGGGTAGAAGAGATGTTGTCCCTAGAGGTGCTGGGTGCTGGATAGATGGTCCTGGGATAGAGTCTGACTGCAGTGGGAGAAAGGTTGCAAACCCCTGGGTGCCAGGCTGGAGGTGGGGAAGCTGCTGGGCACTTGGGCAGAGAGTTCAGCCTGGCACCGGAGAGAAGTTCCTGGATGGAAGAGTTGTGAGGATCAAATGACTTGTTTGTAAGACATTTTGCAAATCTTAAAAGCGTTATATAAATGTCATTATTAATTATTCTATACGAGCACTTTGTATACTGCTTACTGACTTTTACATCCATTGTGTCATTTGATTCTCAAAACAGCCCTGGGTGGTAGATAGGTGGCTATTCTTGTTGTTGAGTTGTGTCCAGCTCATTGTGACCCCATTTGGGGTTTTCTTGGCACGGATACTAGAATGTTTTGCTGTTTGTTTCTCCAGCTCATTTTACAGATGAGGAAACTGAGGCAAACAGGGTTAAGTGACTCACTCAGGGTCACACAACTAGTAAGTGTCTGCGGTCAGATTTGAAGATGAGTCTTCCTGATTCCAGGCCTGGTATTCTGTCCACTGCACCACCTAGCTGCCCTGTGGTAGACAGGACAGGGATTATTTCACCCATTGAAGAAACTGAGGCTTATATTACTGAGTTGCTTGGAGTCACCTAGGGAGCAAGTGACAGAGCTGGGATTGGAAAGAGAGAGAGAGAGAGAGAGAGAGAGAGAGAGAATCTCATTCCGCTTAACCTTAGTGCTGTTGTTCCTCCAGGGTGCCTGTGCTAATACCCTCCCAGCTGAGCAAGCCTCACTAACAACTCACATTAACACAGTCCATCAACCTTCACTCCTCCCGAGAGCTGAAGGCCTGAGTTAGGCTTGGGATAGACTAGGAGCCACCCACTCCCAGCCCCACAGGGGCCTTTATAATCTTTAAACTGAGAGCTTATTGAGGGCAGGCACTGTCTTTTTCCTTTCTTTGTATCCCCAGCATTCAATATTTAGCACAGTGACTATGATAAGGACCTAGCACAGAGTAGGTCCTTAATAAATGTTGACTGACTGACAAGTAAATTTTCCATCCCCACTGTTACATCTATTTGTATTTCTATGTTTAGTGACTATAATAGGTAACTCTTTGTGGATAAGTCAGAAGGCTTCTTTGTCTCCTCTGGGAGAAATTTAGGTGACCCCGGGGTTTAGAGAAATACAAGGTCGAAGAGAAGAGAGGCATTTGAGCTAAAGAGAGAGAAAAAGGCAGAAAAAGTCAAACGTTTCAGTCAGAGAAGTAATTTGTCCTCTGATGAGGACAGACCTCCTGGCAAGCTTTGGGAGTAAGCTTAGCTTGGAGAAAGAAGGGGAAACATGGATTCGTTAGGGAACTAGGAGTAAGGACCCCAGGGTTAGGGTTAGACTGGACAGATTGGATTGAGTTGTTGAAACCAAGGGCACCGGGAAGAGCTAATCCTATGATCCTCTGAGCTAGACAAGGCACACCCTCTGCAGCATTTCTACCACTAACAGCCTTTCAAAGTGAGGTCCTATGTTGAACCAAGCCTCGCCTGCTAAAATACTCAGCCCCAGCAATAGGAACTCTTTGAGTGTCAGTCTGCTTACTGTTCCACTTACAACAGTGTTCCTACAAAATGAATAACAACAATAATAATTATAATAAAAGTTCAAGTTTGCATAAGCACTTTTCTCACAACATCCCTTTGAGTTGGGCAGTGCCAATAGGAGCTATGGTTTTCAGAGAAGGAAACTGAGACACTGAGTGATGAAATGACGTGCCCATGGTCACACAGGTAACCTGTAGTAAACTGCCGAACCATCAGAACTCAAACCCAAGTCTTCTGCAAAGGACATACCTTTCCCCTCCACCCTCACAGGCATGGGTAACATTTCTCCTAACAGCATGTTTTTTTGTTTTAGAAAACTTATTTAGTATTTTATTTTTCCCTAGTTAAATGTAAAAACAGTTTTTAACATTCATCTTTAAAACTTTGAGTCCCAAATTCTGTCCCTTTTTCCCTCCTTCCCCATTGAGACGGTAAGCAATTCTATATAGGTTATACATATGTAGTCATGCAAAACATTTCCATAGTAGTCATGTTGTGAAAGAAAACATAGACCAAAATTTAAAAAAAAAAACCTCAAGAAAAATAAAGTAAAAAGAAGTATGCTTCAATCTGGATTCAGACACCATCACAGTTCTTTCTCTGGGAATGGAGGGCATTTTTCATCATAAGTCCTTCAGAGTTGTCTTGGATCATTATATTACTGAGAATAGCTAAGTCATTCATAGCTGCTCATCTTATAATATTGCTGTTACTTTGAACATAGTACATTTCACTTTGTATCAACTCATGTAAATCTTTCCAGGTTTTTCTGAGAGTACCCTGCTCATCAGTTTTTATAGCACAGTAGTATTCCATCATAATCACATACTACAACTTGTTCAGCCATTCCACAATTGATGGACATCCCCTCAATTTCCAGTTCTTTGCCACCAGAAAAGGGCTGCTTTAAATATTTTTGTACAAATTGGTCCTTTTCCTTTTTGTTTTTTATGTCTTTTGGGATACAGACCTAGTAGTGGTGTTGCTGGATCAAAGGGCAGGCACGGTTTTATAGACCTTTTGGGCATAGTTCTAAATTGCTCTACAAAATGGTTGAATTAATTCACAACTGCACCAGCAGTGCATTAATGTCTCATTTTCCCCATATCCCCTCTACCATTTGTCATTTTCCTTTTCTGTCCTATTAGTCAGTCTAATTAAGTATGAGGTAGTACCTCAGAATTGTTTTAATTTTCATTTCTCCAATCAATAGTGAGTTAAAGCATTTTTTCATATGGCTATAAATACCTTTGATTATATCTTCTGAAAACTGTTCATATCTTTTGATCATTTACCAATTGGGGAATGACTCTTATTTTTATGAATTTGACTCTGTTCTCTGCATGTATGAGAAATGAGGCCTTTATCAGAGAGTTTTGCTTCAAAAAATTTTTTTCCCTACACTAATATCATGTTTTTGTGGAACCATTTGGTGATGTGAGGTGAAGATATACCTATTTCCATATCTGGATACAGTCAGGTCCTGGAGTATTCGTAGAATCATCATAGCTTCTCACTTGGGCGACACCAAAGACACTTCCCAAGTGGCCATCTAGCCTTTTCTGGGACCTGTCCAGGGATTGCCTTACCTGTCAATTGTCTACATCCATGTTGTTGCTACTGCCTACAGTAAATTGACTAATTTTTGCTGCATTTTGACCTGAGTGCTGGATGACTCACGGTGAGGAGGCTCACAGGGGAAAAGTGTTGGCAGAGCCATAGCAATAACTGGCAGGGGGGGGGCAGAGCCTCCTCACCCACACCTGCCTCTGTGTCTGTGCACGCAGACTGTCATTGGCACTCTAGAGGACGCAAACCACAAGCAAATGCAAGAAATGAAGAGCAAGCTAGAGAAGTGGTCGGCACAGGCAAAGGTCAAAGTGAATGGTGAGTGTCCCTGTGGCGGTGGCATACTCTTGGCCTTGTGGCCCTGGGTTGTCTCCTGTGGTCACAGACTCATGTGGTTTTAGGCTAGAAGGGGCATTTGAACCTAGACTGTCAGAGCCAGAAAGAACCTTAAAGCATAGAATTCAATTAGGCAACAAGATATTACGTGCCTACTATGTGCAAAGCAATGTGCTAAGTCCTGCAAACCTAGAATGAATAAGAGAACATAGAATTTTGGAGCCAGAAAGGCCCTTAGGACTTAGAACCCAATGTCAGCTGGAAGGGATGTTTATCTAACTCTCTAACACTTTACATGAGGAAACCGAGGCTCTAAGAGAGAGGTGATTTGCCCAGGGTCACACAGCCTGTTGATGGCAGAGGTGGGACTTGTGCAGGTCTCCTGATTGCTAGTCTAATTTCATATATATTGCCTCATATTATTTTATATGTTTTATCTTCAATAATTAAACATAATTACTGAAAGCAAAGTCTGTGATTTCCATTTTTCTGGTATCCCAAGTGTGAACCCTTTTCTTTCTTTCACCAACATGCCCCAGAACCTGACTTGTTGATGTGACTTTCTTCTGGTTCCTTGCTTCCCTACATGTGCTGTCTGAGATGTACCCAGCACACAAGCTTGGCCTGCAGAAGAGACAGGCTTTTTCTTTCTCCTTGGAAGCCGTGTGGCCTCTGAGATCACTGGTCTTATTCACTGTCCCCTTCCCTGAGCTCCAGGCCCCCATGCTGTTTCTACTCTCTAGATTAATGTTATTCTTATTTCTACTCAGTGCTCTCTGGGGACTCTTTTGCCAAATTTCAAAGAGCAGGCTCTCATCTCATTGATGGGACTGCGTTAAGCAGCAGACACTGGAGCCGTGAGACAGTGGCTTCCTTTTCCTTGGCCTTTGTGGTTCATCTCCCTGTCTCCCTCTGTTCAACTTAACCTGTCTCCTGTTGCTTAAGTTGTTGGCATGTCCCCCTCCCCAGGAGAGTTGCTTAGTACAATCCATGTTTCATAGTTAAATAAAATGGACAACTCTTTCTCCTAGTAAGAGCAGAGTATGATACTACATGGGGACACAACTTTATGTGTGATAGATGCTTGATAGATTTATGTTAACTGAATGCAGTATTGCCTGTACCTTCCTAGGAGGAGAAGCAATAGGAAAGACAGACAAGTTGATTTAGGTGACCCCAGCCTTCTCATGACTAGAAGTTTCAGAAGGATGCTCTCAACAGAGTAGACAGGATTTTTTTTACTCAGACCTGACTATGGTAAGGGAAGAGGGGAGGATCACCTGTGTTGAAGGTCCCCTCTCTACCATAACCCAACTTCCCACTGCAGGGGAACCAAGGAAATAAAAGTTATCTTCTATTAGAATGTAAGCTCCTTGAGGGCAAGGGCTATCTCATTTTTGTTTTTGCATCCCTAGTGCCTAGCATAATGCCTGGTACACAGTAGGAGATTAATTGAAATAATCAATAGGACTGTTCTGAAGCAGAAGAATGGAGTTGGTCTATAAATTATGTCAAGACTCCTGCAGACTACCTTTGCCTGGGAAGGAGGGCTGGTGAGGCCCTGGATCACAGAGCCTATCCATCTCTGCAGTGGAGTTAGCATGACATAGAGGGAAAATCCCTAGATGAGAAATCAGATTCTAGTCTATTCTGCCACCAATTTGCTGTGAGATCTTGGATAAATCATTTAATAGCTTTAGAGAAGTGGGCTTATGGCTGAGGGGTGTGACCTTTGGTGCAGGGAGCTTCCCTTTTTCTTCTCTCCCTCCTTCCCCCAACCTTCACTAGACCTGGAGCAGCAGCTGACAAAAGTGAAAACGAACATTCGTAAGGCCCAAGATGAACTGAATTTCCTGACCACCTACATGGACCAGGAGTATCCAGTTAAGTCTGTGCAGATTGCCGACCTCATGCGTCAGATCCAGGAGATGAAAAATAGCAATGAGGTAAGGGTTCTCCTGCCTCTTTGTTCTAGGTGCCTCCCCAAGGGAGGCCCCAGGGCCAGGAAGTGATTTTTTTCTCTTGGCCACCAGGATGAACTAGAGGAGTTGCAGGAGATATGCAAGGATGTGCTTCAGACATTGTCAAAGAAGCTGATGGTGAAGACAGAGAAAATCTTATATGTCATGGCCAAGGTGAGCAGTAGGTCCTATGGACCTTCTGAAGACCCCACCCATTGGTGGGAGTGTGACTGGGAGGCACTAAGGCCTCTTTTTCCCTCCCCACCTCTCTGCATTAGAGAGGTGCCTGCTGCTTGTGGGAGGGGCCTTTAGTTGCCACCTGTTTTGCATCTGGCTGATCTCTCCCACCTCCACAGAGAACCATCCTTCCCTATCAGGCTGCTCTTATGAGGAAGACTCTAAGTAACCAGCGACTCTTGAAGCAGATAGTCCAATTCAGAGTGGTGAGTGAGACCCCAGAGAAAACAGGGATTAGGAGCGGGCAGTCAGACACCAATGACTTCAGCTCGAGGCTGAGGGCTATAGAGCGAATAAGCCTAGAAGGTCTACTGGAAATATAGAAATGGAAGCATTCTCTTGACTGTCCTCTTTTGATTAGGATATTTGAAGGATTTGGGGCAGTACTTGGGACCTCAGGAAACAATCCTGCCCGGACCTCTGGTGATGTGAACGACTGACTAGCTTGGGGCCTTCTTCATCACTCTAACCCCCAGTAAATGATAAAAAACACTTGTTTGGGGAGTGTGTTGAGAGACTCTTCATTAAAGCTCACCATCCATCATCACCCTCTTGACCATCACCATCCATGACCACCTGGGAATTCTTCTACCTTCTTGCCCTGAGGGAGGTCACGCTGTCAGGAATACAGACTGATAGTGACAGCCCATTTTCAAAAATTTCTTTGTTTCTACTTTTTTTTTTTTAAACTTCCTTTCTCCGGGATACCTGAATCTCTCCTCTGGAAAGGAGACAATCAACTTTCTACTCCTTTCCTCCCACTTCTCTGCCCCTTCAGCACATTGACCGTATGAAGAAGGAACTTCCCAGGCTAAAGGGCCAGGTACGGGACCTCCAGATGCAGAGGAAGGACCCACGGGAGGTGGTCTTTGCCAGTGTCCTGCTTCGGAAACCCAAGTATGTGCTGTAAACAGGTTGCCTGGGATACACTTGCTCTGGGACCCTGACCCAGTAGTGGGAATCCCTTCACTATGCTGAGGAGGTAGTGGGACAGAGGGGCAGGACCGCTGGAAAGGAAATCAAGACTCTTGGGATTTATTCTTAGCTCTTCCACTAACTGGTTGAGTGATCTCGAGGAAGAAGAAAGTGAGAAGCCCAAAGAGGCGAGTGGGTGGATTAGTTGTTTTTAGAAGAAGCAGCATCCCTTTGCTCTTTTCAAATGTTACACTTTATCCATCCCATTTGTTGGGCCTTGGAGAATGGAAAAGTTTCGGTAGGTGGAGTAGGGAAGAGAAGGAGCTCATACCAAGCCTAAGAGAGAACATAGCAAAATGCCTAAGTACAGGAAAAAGGCAGGATTGGATTGGAGGAGATTGGGAGGCCATTCCATGGGGACTCAGGAACCTGATAGTGTTCAAGTTCTTCCACTGACAGCACCATGCTCCTCATGGCCTCATGGGCATCATACCTAAATATTGTTCCTGTCCTAGGACAGCAAACCTAGCAAGTCACTTTCCCCAAGATTTTAGATTTAGATTTTTTTAAGCCATTGCTCCATTTGTGGAGAAATTTGGTGTGGGGGTTTGGGTTTTCTTTGTTGTTGTTGTTGTTGTTGGATAACTCTTGGAGTGGGTTTAGCCTTTGGGGATGGGGCTTCTCTGTTGTCCCACTACATCCTTGGTACCAGCCTTCTTTGAAGGAAGGGCTGAGAAGGCCCCTTACCCACGTGGCCCCACCTGCCCATCCTCCTGAGACCTCTATCTGTGGGAGCTTTGTTCTAGAGATAACCACTCACTGTAATGTGCTTAATCTTTCTCCTTCCTCCCTCGGCCTTCCACCAGGTGTACTCCAGACATGGATGTCATCCTCAATATCCCTGAGGAAGAAATTCTTCCCTTTTAGCCCTGGCACAGGATAGGACTCTACCCTGGCTGGTCATGTCCGACATCCCTTGTCTTTCTCCCAATCATCGTTGTTCTCCATCCTGGGAGCTATGTTCCCAGCTTCATGTAGGACATCTTAGTCCATTTAGAGGAGTTTTCAGCAACTTCTTCACCCTCTGATTTTTACCTCTTTTTCACTTGATGCCACACTTTCCTTTTAACTAATAAAATTAGATTTTCATTTGGTCAGCATGTGATTTACAACTGTCAGGGGGAGGGGGTGTTCTGGGGTGGCCACAATAGCTGTTCTGACTTCTCTGCCTCTCTGTTGGTTGTGGGCTCTGAGATCCTAAGCTCATTTTCAGGTCTTTGAGGCGAGGGATTGGTGTCCAGCGACGAAGGGCCACCAACAGACTAAAGGGGACGTGATCCTCTCCCTGCGTGTCAGATAGACTTAGTAGCTCTCTTTGGTGGGGTGCACTGTTCCATTTCTACTTGGACAACTCGGTGTTATAGAAAGTAGATTTGAAATTAAGAGATCTAGGTTCAAATGGCAGCATAGCACTTTACTGCTTGTGTGGCTTTAGGTAAGTAACTTCACCTTAGTTTCTTTGTCATCTGTGCATCTCCTCCAGCACTGGAACTTCAGCCTCTCCCTGGCATAACCAGGTACAAAACCAGTCCCTGTGGTGCCCATTGTCAGACGGACAAGGGAGAAGTTCAAGGAAGCTGACTTCAGTGATCTGTTTAAGATTGTTGTCTAAGGCTAGTGTTTCCTAACTCTTTTCAACCTGTTACCCATCTGGGATCGTTTTATGCCATCTTCTAGGGTCCAGACAGCCATCTGTTCATTCACAGCCCTTGTCTCAATTCCATCTGTATGGCATCTACACGTAGCTATGTACACAAATACAAACAATACTAGAGAACCACTCAGAGACACTCAAGTTTTATAATCTTCATTACAGAGCATGTGTTTCAGTGACGTACTTTTTTTTTTTTTTTTGGTGAGGCAATTGGGATTAAGTGACTTGCCGAGGGTCACACAGCTAATAAGTGTCAAGGCAAGATTTGGGCTCAGGTCCTCCTGACTCTAGGGCCATTGCTTTACCCACTGCACCACCTGGCTTCCCCCTCAGTGGCATACTTTGTTAGAAACTTCATTACCAGTGGTAGACGTAACTCTGGAAGGGACGTGGAGACCTTCCTAGATATAGATTCTTTTTGTGTACTCTCCAATTAAGATAATAACTTTTAAGATAATTCAGGGCCCTGATACTGGTTCAGCTATTCCCTCTATACTTTAGTCTTGATGAGTTAGTTTGGCCACAAAAAAAAAAAGTTCATCACTTGGTGGACAGCTTTTCTGATGATGAGCTTCAGACACAGGCCCTTTTGGGACCTGTGTTCTAAGTCCTGTCAGCCCCACTGAAATCCTCTGATGCTTCATCAGGACAGAGCCCAGGGTCTGTCGGGTCCTTCTGGTACAGTAAAGAGCAGTTATTCTCGGCATTATTGTTAACATCTAGAGAGGGCTTTAAGGTTTAGAAAATGCTTTCCTGAGGCCCCTTGGCCTGCAAGAGGTAGAGATGGTATTTCTGTGCCCTGTGAGACTAAACATAGCAGCAGCCTTGGCTGTGAGACTTCTGTGCACCTTGCTGATCAGTTCTTTTGAGTCATGAGATTGCATTCTTCCCCTCGGCTCTGGGATACGGTTTCTACTGCCGTTGACCTAGTGTTGACTCTGGAACTTTCCTTGATCCTCTTCATACCCTGTTTTCCTTTGGGATTTGTTAACCAAGGTAAAATGATACCCATACACATAAACATATACGTGCTCAGACACTCATGCACTTGAACTATCTAGCCTTTTCAACAAAAAGAGGATGGATACCTGCCATTACCTCTTGCGTATTTTATTCCCTAGTTCCAAATTGGCAAAGGGAGTGAGAAAACCCAGAGGGGCATGACTGCCTTCCCTCCCCCTCACCTCATATATCTTTTCAGTGCTCTAAATGTGCTGTTTGAGAAATGGGTTCTGCCTTTGTTTATTTTTAGGTCTTATTTAGATTTTGGATATCACAAGTAATGAGTGAATTTAAAATTGAATTCTTTAAACATTTTTTAGGAACTTGAAAAGATAAGTATATTGCTTATATGTGGATATTACTCACATGGTGTTGGCAAGCTGTTGGTACAATGATTATACTATTTGTGGCGGTGTAAGTATGCAGGTGATGTGTAGATGTTTCCTCCAGACCAATGGTTTCTTGGCATATCTTCTTGGCTTCTGGTCTGCTTGTCTCTCAAGGCATAGTCAGTTTCAGGTCACTTGAGTCCCAAGTTCAATAATCTCTGGTCAAATGACTTTGGCCACCATGGAGATGAGTTGTTATAATCCTTCTGGAGGCCAACACCCATTTGCTCTTTTCAAATGTTGCACTTTATCTATTCCATTTGTTGACTGTTCATGCCATGTCTTTGGAATATCCTTAGTAGATAATATTTAGTAGGTCAGTTGAATCACTCCTAGTGATAGGTTCTAGCTAATCAAACAATAGAGTGCAGTGAGTGCCTTTGTGGGATTCCCCTGTTGGCCAAATTAAATATTTGAGTGTTCCAAGCACAGCAGCAGCAAAAATGTTAGAAATTTAGTGTATTACAGAAGAGTTCTCTTTATCCACCAGTTAAGGGTTTTCAAGTAGTAAGTGAGGGGCTGCCCTCAGCTTCATTTCCTGCATTTACCCCAGGGAAGAAGAATGAAAAATAAAAGTAATCCAATCCAACAAGCATTTGTTAAGCACCTACTGTGTGCCTGACCTTGTGCTGGGGACCTGTGGATACAAAGGCAAAATTAAGACTGGCCCCATCCTTACTTTTGGGATACAACATGTAATCTGATAGCAAACATGATAATATGAGGTGGAGACAGTGCTGACAAGAGGGATCAGGAAAGGTTTCCTGTAGGAGGTAGATCATGAATAGAGACTTAAATGAGGTGAAGGATCCTAAAAAATGATGGAGAGGAAGGAGAGCATTCTGGGCATGGGGGACAGCATATGCACAGGCATTGGGGACAGGAGATGGGATGTCAAATTTTGGGGGAATAGTAAATAGTCCAGTTTTAGTAGAAATGTAGAGTTCCTGAAGAGGACTACAACTGAATAAATTCGTCAAGGTAGACTAGAATTGGATTGTGAAGGACTTTAAGTGTAAAATAGAATAACGTGTTTTATCCTAGAGGTAATAGGGATCCCCTGAAGATTCTTCAGCAGAGAAGTGACACAGTCAGATTGCTTTAAGATCATTTGGCAGGGGTGGGAGGTGGAGGATAGATTGGAGAGGGGAGAGACCAGAAGCCTGGAGTTTAATTAGGAGTTGACTGCAACAGTCTAGGTCAGACCTACACAGCTTGGCAGTAGGTAGGGGCCAAAATTAAAATAGATTAAACTTCTTCAGAGCACAGATAGATTTTTAGCAGCTCACTTTCCAAGTAAAGGTATAATTAATGATTACACTATTTTTGCAATTAAAACATATTAAAAATAAATTTCAATAAATATCAATTAATTATACTTATTATTTAAGTTTTTTTATCATGAAATCAAATTAATGTTAAAAATTCCTTTGCTAAGTGGCACAAATTTTAATTTAAATATTTTTCAGGTTTTCTTCCTGTTTATAGTTAATGGGATGTATTACACTTCTTGTCAGCAGTTTATCAAACTCTGGAATCATGTTTGCAATTGATTTTTTTAGAAATCTGAAAATTAACCTCAGTAGCTGCTTCATTTTCTGAGTTTACTTTCTTGAAAAACTGTTGTTCCCCCCTGAGATCTTTCAGCAATTTAGACTCTTTAATTTGCTTTTCATTGGTATCCAGTTTGATAAGTCAGGATGTTTTGATTCAAAATGATGATGAAAATTGTATTCCTTCAGAACAGCTATTACTTCTTGGCAAACAAGGCACAATATTTTGTCTCTCATGAAAGTAAACAAGTATCTGTTTGTCCACTCCAGATTAAACACTTTATGTTCTGATTCGATCTTCCATTTCTTTTTATCATCCATTTTATAAAGTCACCCCCAAAACTTTAATGTTAGAACCAAAAAATCTCCACAGCAACTGCTCACATATGAAGAAATACTGAACTGAGTGTCTGACCTCCGAGAGCGCCAGACACTCTTGTAATTTGAAGGACAACGGAGTCGTGAGGGAGCGGAAGAAGCTCTCGCGTTGTTGGCACTCATTGCACAGTGGTGGTGTCATTGCATTGACATGTGGCTGCACTCGCTTTGTCCCTGTTCAACGCCAGTAACGACTGAAAACACATCGAAAAGATATGACTTTGGCTCCTCTCAGACTAGAGACAGACTGATGACGGTTGGTTGCCGAGGCTCACGTGATAAACAGAGAGCGTGCACAGTGGCAACCCACCCACCAAGTTACATGATGAGCACAATGGTGACTAATGGTGGCAGGTTAAGTGGGACACTGACAAAGCATTCATTACATCTTTACTTTCTTTTACATCCTCTGCATTTTTTGTGGGCCACCTGAAATCCTTTGGCAGCCCATGGGCCGTATGTTGTATAGCCCTAGTCTAGAAGAAAAGTGTCAAGGGTTGAACTAGGGTGATGGCTGTGTGAGTCGAGGTTAGGAGATAGACAAGACTTTGCACCTGATTGGATTGGGGAGAGACAGAAAAGTCAAGAATGACTCAGAGGTTGCAAACGTGGGTGACCGGAAGGATGGTTGTACCCTCAACAGAAATAAGAAAGTTTGGAGGAAGGGAGGATTTAGGAAGGAAGGTAATGAGTTGTGTATTGGACACATGGCTTCTGAGCTCCTATAATACATGCAGGGGTAGATGGTGATTCACCTGGCAATTGTTGATATAGTACTGGAGTTGAGAGATATTAGAGCTTGATATGTAGATCTGTATATAGAACCCAGGAGAGCTATTGAGATCACTGGGCATATAAAGAGACGAGGGCCTGTGTTAGTGTCTTAGAGCAGCACTTCTTAAACTGTGGATCGAGCCCCATATGGGGTTGGAAAACTGAATGTGGGGGTTGTGAAAAATTTGGCAACAGTGAAAAGTTTCTGAACATGCGATAACCAAAAATTGATTTGAAATCAAATGTGTAATGAATCCGAGGTGTTTCTGGCAGTGCTTGCCCATGTTGCATCATGCAACTTCACTGCAACCTTAGTTCTGAATACAAAGCATGCATCCT